ATTTGTTTCCATATTATGTTTCTTAATAACCTATTGTACATACTGGGGTCTATATCCTCATTGCAATTATGTCCTTGCTTTTAAGAATGCCATTCAAAAGTGTTGCTATTGTTATTGTGTTTCATACTGGGCTTTCTACAGTTTTTAGATGTGATTTTGATTTGTGTTGATTTGTTTATTGAGATAATGACTTGTGTTGGACCATCCATACCACCAATCTCATCTCCCCATCAGCTGTTGGCAGGTAGTGCAGTAGAGAAAAGATTGGTTGGTTGTCTTTCATGCTAGAAGAAGACCAAAATGGCATCGTTATGTTGGAGTCAAAGTACAGTGTCTGACTTTGGCTGATCAAACCAATATGATCTCAGAAGGCTCTATCACAGGTCAGGCATAAATAATCCATATGAACATTTGAGATGGAGATATCTTTAAATCTGTGCATCTCACATTTCTTTTGAGCTACTGCAATTTTGCTTTGTTCATAGAGCACAGTGCCTTCTTTGATGTGGGCACACCATGCTGGGCAGTCCTTTGCCAGTGTCTTCCATGTTACACAATTAATTCCAAAGTTCTTCAGAGGGACCTTGAGAGTGTCCTTGTATTGCTTCTTCTGACCACTATATAAATGCCTTCTTTGTGTGAGTTCTCTGTAAAATAGTCTTTTAGGCAAACATATGTTTGGAATTTGAACAACACGGATAACCCATTGGAGTTGTACTCTCTGCAGTTGAGTTTGAATGGTTGGCAGTTCAACTTGATAAAGGACCTCAGTGTCTGGTACCCTATCTCGCCAGATCATCCTCAGAATCTTCCTAAGACAATCCAAGTGAAGCAATTTGGTTTCCTGGCATGGCACTGGTATACTGTCCAAAAGATATCACCCATATCATTTTATCAAAAAGTAGGGACAAGGTATAAGGTATGTGTATGATAAAACTATGATGGAACATTAGAAAAACATGCATTTGACATAGGCATCTAAATATTTCATAAGATATTACTCACACAGTGTGGGGAACTTGCAATACAACAAGGGCAGGTTATAGTGCTGCAACAAGGTTAATGCACATACGCAATTGAAAAACCATAGATGTTTTATGATGCTCACATGACAAGCAAAGGGAGCTAGTGTGGTGCTGGGGAAAGAACAGAGGATTTGAAATGAGGGAACATGACTTCAAGCTCATCTCTGCCATTTACTGAATGTGTGTGATAAGTCACTTGACCTCAGTTTCTTCATCTGTAAAATGAAAGATTTGGACCAGATGACCTCTGGAACCTCTTCTAGCTTGAAATAAAGAATTCTATTGGCATTTGTGATGTGTTGAGGTCTTTTTACACTAAGTGATAAAGTGACTGTCGTCTTATATAGCCTGTTTTAGAACTTAAGCATGCTGACAACATCTCATTTCTTAGAGTTGTGTATACAAAGAAAGTAAGGAAGTTTATTTCCTGCAGATCAGCGGTTCTCAAACTTTTTGGCCTCAGGACCCCTTTATACTCTTAAAAACTATCAAGGACCCAAAATAGCTTGTGTTTATGTGAGTTATATCTATTGATATCTACTGTATTAGAAATTAAAACTAAACAATTTAAAAAATATTTATGAATTCTTTTTAGATAACAATAATAAATCCATTACAAGTTAACATAAATAACATGCTTTTAACGAAATATGACTATATTTTCCCAAACAGAAAAATTAGTGAGACGAGTGACATGGTTTTATGTAATTTTGTGAATGTTTTTAATGCTTGGCTTGATAGTAGACAACTGGATTCTCCTATATGCTTCCTCATTCAATCTCTGGCGATGCTGTTTTGGTTGAAGTATATGAAGAAAATCCAGCCTCACTTGGATATATTGTTACAAAAGGGAAGAATATTTTAATAGGCAAATAATATCTTAGTATTGTCGTGAAAATAGTTTTTACCTCTCAGACCCCCTGAAAGGGTCACAGGGGTCCTTGGACTGCATGTTGAGAGTCTCTGCCGTAGACATTCAAACCAGATAATTTGGGTTGTCCCATTGAGCTTGAGACAGGTGGGTGGCTCAATGGATAGAGTGCTAAGCCTGGAGTCAGGAAGACCTGAGTTCAAATGCGACCTCAGACACTTACTAGCTGAATGATCATAGGCGAATCACTTAACCTCTGTTTGCCTTAATCCACTGGAGGAGGAAATGGCAGACCACTCCAGTATCTTTGCCAAGAAAACCCCATAGCGAATATTTTTGTGCTGTGAAGTTCATGGGGTCATGAAGAGTTACACAGGACTGAACAACAACAACAAACTGAACTTGAATTATATTGCTTGCTTACAACTGATCATATTAAATAGATAGTTGTTTTTATTTCATGCCTTGTAAACATGCCATTCTAGCTGGATTAAGTAATGGGATCATGTTTTTCTCTGGGCAAAGCATGGTGTTTTCATGTTCTTATCAGACTTTAGAGCTGGCAAAATGTCAAACTATACTGAGTTGGCTCTTCCTGTTTTCAGGTGTCAAAGGACGAGTTATGCCCTCCAGAACCTTCACCCAAGCTTTCACTGCTGCTGTTTTTTAACGGACAATAAGAGTTTTAGATTTTGTGAGGCAGCAGCCAGAAAGAGATAAGAATTCACTCAAGAGAATTGTGACCCATTAAGTTCAAATAAAGGAACAAATATAACTTGTGTGAAAACTGGCAACATTTTCATTGCTCTTATGAGCTAAAGCACCTTAGAAATGCCTTTATAAAGTACAAGTTAAGTTACTCTTGTGCCTTTGATACAGCCAGTTGTAGATATGAATGTACTCAATTCTATCCAGGTCAGATACCCTAAAGGAAGCATGTTTTCAAGAGGGAGCAAGATTTAGGGTGCGAAGTACACATTCTGGAGTAGGAAACAATGTACTCTTGGGTATAAAGGAACATCCAGTGAACACATCTAGAGTCAAGAGATGAGTGTCATGTTTGAGGAATCTCAAGGAGGCCAGTGTCATTATAGCACACAGTGCATGAAGGACAGTAAGTATAAGAAGACTAGCAAGTAGGAAGAGGCTTAGCTATGAAAAACGTTTTTTTTTTAACACTACAAAAAGAATTACAAAAATATTTTTGTACATGAACCGTTTTCCTCTTCATTTGATCTCTTTAGGGCAGAGGTCTAGTAAATTACTGTATTTAGGACCATAGATGTAGAGATGAGAGGGACCTGAAAGGTCTTCCAGTCCAACCCCTCCCTTTTTTACAGAGCAGGACACTGAGGTGGGAGAGGTTAAGTGCTTGCTTAAGGTCACTCACATAAGAAGTGGCAAAGCTGAGATTTGAGCCCACGGCCTGCGACTGGAAAACCACTACCCTTTGCACTGCACTACATGATGACTTTTAAAAAATTATTTATTTTACTTTGAGTTTAAGAATTAAAACAAGCATTTCCATAACATAGTAGAATAGAAAAAAAAAGATGGTTGTACATAAAAGTGCAAATCTATTATGTACAAGTTACTATGGCTTTTAAATATATAATAACGTTATTATGTAACTTTTTTTTATGTCTCACAAAAAACCCCCTGCAAAAAGAGATAGTAAGAGATACCCTATTTAAAATAACTGTGGGCAGTATAAAATACCTGGGAGTATACTTTCCAAAACAAACCCAGGAACTATATGAACAAAATTGTAAAAAAAACCCTTTTTATACAAATAAAATCAGATTTCAATAATTGGAGAAATATTAATTGTTCATGGGTAGCAGGGCCAATATAATAAAAATGACAATTTTGTCTAAACTAATTTATATATTCAATGCCATCCCAATTAAATCACAATTTTTTTTTTACTGAATTAGAAAAAATAATAATAAAATTTGTTTGGGAGAACAAAAAGTCAAAAATATCAAAGGAACTAATGAAAAAAAGGTAAAGGAAAGAGGTTTAGCAGTACCAGATCTTAAACTATGTTATAAGGTTATAATTGCGATGACACAATTTGTAGTTCCCACAGATTAAGAATTTCTATGAACAATCCAACAACCCAATACAATAAGCATTTAAGTACCTGCTATTCACAAGGTCTTGGGGATACAAAGACAAAATAAAAAAGTTAGTGCCCAAGAATTCTGGCAAGATGGTATCATTAAGGTGCTGTGTGACAAAGAAATCTGCCATTTGGGAGGGTCAAAAGCTGACTCATTTTGATTATATTAATAGGTCATAAACTTTCTACTATCTTACTTAAAGCTAATATAGCTAAATGTTTGAAGTCACTTTCGGCTGATGAATATATGTCTAAATCTAAGTTTAGGAGAAGTAAGGCATAGGAAGGGATGGCATGCTAGGAGATTGGAGTCAGAAAGAGAAGGTCAGAGTTTGTTTTGATGGGTATGGCTAAAACTGAGAAGCTTTAATCACAGCAAAGCTGCTCAGATACATCTTTCTTCTGTGCATCTTAAAACTTTATTTGACACACACTCAGCCTCAGTATGTCTGAGGTGAAATTACATTTTAATTTAGGCTCCTGAACTATTTGCGACTTAGGTACTAGTGGCTTAACTCTGAAATATTTCATTACAAGAGCAGAGATCAGGAGTTGGGTGGTGGTGGTGTGGGGTGGAGGAAGGGGAGGGAACAAACATTTATTAAGCATCTACTACTTGCCAGGTACTGTGCTGAAAACTTTACAAATATTGCCTCAGAGAGAGCAATCTAGTCCAACTCTCACTTTGGACAGATCGGGAAACTGAAGTCCAGGGAAGTGCAGTGACTTGCTTAAGGTCATATAGGTAGTAAGAGTCAGGGGGTCAGAATTTGAACCCAAGTCCTCTGACTCCACAGTCAGTCCTCTTTTTACTGTACCATACTGTCTTGCATGTTGAAACAGTATAATAATATATTATCTGTCATCAGTCTTTGCTTAATCAACCAAAATACTGTATGTTCTAATTATTAGAAAACATTCAAGCAATGCTCTTTGTGTTTAAACTGTTTGCTTTCCTTTACCACATTATTTTTCGTAGTTGTTTTTTTTTAGGTAACCATAAGACTACTTCTATAGAAAATGGAAGATCAGCATTATCATTCCCATTCTGCGGATGAAGAAACAGACATAGCTCTATCTCTATGGCTTGCCTGAAGCTTGTTGGTGAGTCACGAACACAGCCACAATTAAAATGTGGAGCTTTTGTTCTCAGGCCAAAACTCCTTTCATAAGTCTTAATATAAATTCCTAGATGGCATGGGTTGCACTTTATTTTATTGGATCAACTGGATGTGAGCAATTTTTTTTTAAAAAAAATCACTTTAAAAATATTTGAATCAAAGTATATTATCTGTCTTGAAATTAAGGATGCTACATATAATCAGTACCTTGCGAAGAAGAAGCAATTGTCTAAGGAGGCTTGTGTGGAATGCACAGGAAACTCATGAACCAATTTAGATTTAAGACTAAGGCAACACTCTACGATTATAAATTGAAGATCATAGGCCAATATACAAGGCAGAGAGAGTTTCCTCATTGACACGTCCTTCTACCAAGGAAATCATAGGTTTGGTCCCCAAACTAACAGAGGCACTTTATTTTGTCTTTCTTTGATTTGGTCATATGTTCCTGCTTTGAGGTAGTGCTTAATCGTGACATCTAGATCTGCTATTTTGCTGGAAGCCTCTTGGAATTTGAATACCCAACACATTGACTAAATGTACTGAGGAATCAGGAGAAGGGGATGGGGCAGCGGATCTGACTTTGAACAGGTAGGAAAGAAAACAAGAGTAGGAATAAATTCATAATCTAGGCTTTAAACCACAGCTGTTTGTTTCCCTCTCCTTTCAACAGCTATAGGCTACGCTTTAAATAATTCTCTTGCCTCTTACCCACTATCTCAATCATTTCTGATAGCAAAAATCCTTAAGCATGGAAGAGGTATGATGAGCACTTTGGTCAGCCTCATTATCTGCCATTTGATCATCCATCCATCTACCTCTCTACCTATCTGTTTATGCACAGCTAAGTTGAAATGATCATTATTCAGGGTTTGGTCACAGCAGCTCATGAAAATATTTACTAAGGCAAGGAACGGGCTGTGCTTTGTGTTGGTGAAGGGAGCCCCCACACAAATAAAGTCACAGATTCATGAAACATTGAAGAATATTAAGCATATAAAGCACTTTCCTAACTATAAGTTAGGAAATTATTGATTGTTGTTGGTTTTTTGTTTGTTTTGTTTCAATAAGCTTTAATAAAGCATATGTTGTTGGGTGAGCCACTGTGATAGGTGTTCTTGGATGGTGCAAGTATATTTTCCCAATTTTTTAGGTGGGGGAATTGAGGCTCAGAGAGATTGAATGATTGCCTGTGGTCATATGACTATTAAACTGTGAAATCAGGATTAGAACCCAGATCTCCTGATTCCAGGCCCAGTGTTCTTTCCTTCATTAAAAGCCTTTCCCTCTTTGTTCATCTCTCATTAATTAATGTTCACCTCGTTGACAGCAGTTCAGAGTGGTTGCTGCTCTTATACTGGTTTTTATAGGCAGAGTTCCAGAGGCAGTTACAAATATTACTGAATCAGGCATCAGAGGCTAATTTTACATCTTGCAAAACGTTATGGAAGTCAGCATAACCTGTGCAGCATGTCTAGACAAATAAGTGATATTATAATCATCAGCAGCAATATCTCCTTCATTAACCAGTGTATGGATATTTGCTTTCTGCACTCCAGGCATTTTGGCTTTAAACTAAGGCAGAACTTCTTTAAGATTTAAATATAAGTTTTGTAGGAAATCACCTGGCTTCTACAAGCAGTAGGGACCCAAGGAATCAGAAGTTCCCACATTGGAAGAGATGTTCCTCCTATAAACTGCTACTCAATATTTCTTTGTGTGGTCTTATCTGTAAAAATAGTGCTTACTTCATCAGCACACACTGATACAGTGCTTCCTGTGACTTTCTGTGCTAAAGTCCTACTCTGATGTCTCATTGTGGTATGAAGATATTCTGGGCCAGGCCTGACTCAGGCCAGTCCCCCGGTAGTTTAGGTTTGATGTTGGGAAAAAAAATGAAACTCTTGTGAATCATTCAATAGTTAACACAAAGATATTCGTTTAAACATGGCAGCAGAAGGACATACAACAAGGATAGGCACCGGGGACACCTGAAGGTGATTCACCTGCATGAAGCTTCCCTGTGATCTACCAACAAAGCACCATAGACCAGAACCTAGAGTTCCTCATGGCTGCTTTGAACTCAAATGATAAGGAAATGACATCAATAATTTGAGCCTTTAGTCCCCTGAGCCAACCAAATCTCAAGAAAGGTCTCAATACCTTTTAAGGAAAAACTAGCCTAACTTGTATGGGTGACCTGGGGGCGGGGGGAAGGGATTAGGATATTGCTCCTACCACAGGAGGTGATGGTGGGCTTTGGATAGCTATGCCCAATGAGACTCACATTCTAGCAGGTTCTACCAAGCTTCAAGTACAAAATTGGTGAAGGTTCCTACCTTTATTTTCCAAGAACCATCCTAGCTAAATGTGGAAAAGTTCATCACTTAAAAATTATTCACATGCTTGTCTTCTAAGAGCAACTTAACTAAGGCTCATCACTGGAAGACTAGCCACCAGGTGATGAATTTTTAATTAATGGGAACTAACAAAGATCTGCTACTAGAGGTGTTTTTGACCTTTGCATCTTCTAAGAAAACTCCTGGCAGAGAAAATATAATTTGTATGAGAACAGAGAATGTTCACTGATCCTTAAAATATGGAAGTAAGCCTTATGAATCATATATCATTAGAACTGAAAGGGTCCTCAGTCTAGAATTGAAAGGATATTAAATTCAAGTCCTTTCTTTCACATGACTCAACTCAGGCCTAGTAAGGTGAAGTGACTTGAAGGGGTTACCTAGTGAATAAGTAACATAGATCAGACTAGAACCCATTACAACACATTGCCTTCCCATCCCAGGTTGCTTTCCTTTTTTTTTTTTGTTGGTTGGGCAATGGGGGTTAAGCGACTTGCCCAGAGCCACACAGCTAGTAAGTGTTGTGTGTCTGAGGCCAGTTTTGAACTCAGGTCCTCCTGAATCCAGGGCCAATGCTCTATCCATTGTGCCACCTAGCTGCCCTGTGCCCCCCACCCCCACCAGGTTGCTTTCCTGAGGCCATTGATATTTCCTAGGAGGCAATCTGTTGTAATAAAGAGAGCACTGGATTTAAGAGTCTCGAGAGACCTAGTTTTGAATCCTGGTTCTGATACTGTACAACCATGGGCTAGTGACTTAGACTCTCTGAGATTTAGTTTTTCTCATTTGTAAAATGGGAATAATAATATCTACCTCAAAGGTAGTTGGGAGGAAGACACCTTATATAAGTCAGAAAGTATCACAAAAATGTGATTATTCCCAGGGCTAAGCAAAGAAAATACTAAACATTAAAAGATTAAAATGCCTCCATTATGGAACTTTTGGGCTTAATCAATCATAGTTGAATAAATAGGCAAGGCTGGAAGCCTATTTTAAGCAGAGAAGTTGTGTTTGTTCCTCCTACCACCAGCCCTAACAGGCCCCTTGATAAGATTTCACTTTTCTGAGAATTGCCCAGATCAGTCGCTGCTGACTCTTTCTATTTTGGAATGTGGGGATGGGGCCGGGGCTGGGCTGTGACAGGGAGCTAGCTGCCCAGCAGTTAGAGCAAGGGAAAGTTTCTTAGCTATCCTGGGCTCTGTTTCAGTCTGATGTGCAAAATAAAAGCAGTAATATAATGACCATTCTTCTGTTCAGTGGCTATTAGAACAGTGTATGTTCACACAGTGATTAGAAATGTAGCTCTCCTCAAATCTTGGGTTAGCTCAGGAAACAAAAGCACTGGAAATGTGAAACCCTGTCTGGGCCAGAGGCCTGGCAAAAAGCCACTGGAGCAATGTGGACTTATCAATTCAAAGCATAGATCCAGTCAAACGCTGAAGACTAGTGCTGGTGTGGCGTTTTCTCAGGGCCGGCTGGGGTCTCAGGGCTTTCAGTCAATCAGCAACATTTAGTGAGATACTGAGACCTGAGCCGAGGAATCAGGGGAACAGAGGAGAGAAGCCCACGTTCTGGAGGCATTTACTATTCCACTAGGAGGCAAAGTCCACACGTTCTAAACAACTAGTGAGCACACTTGACAAGGTAATCATATAATAATGGCAGCAAAGCAAAAGACTGCCATGAAGAATCATGGCATTCCTGCAAATAGCATTAAAGCAAAGTGTTCCCTAGCAAGCTCTTTCCATATTGAAAGTCTGCTTTGGAAATATAGGTGGAACTTCAGAATCTGGGAATTACTGCATTTACTCCTATGTCCTTCTTTAGCCTCCATAGATATGAACATTGAGTGGAAAAAATTTTGAATGCTTTCTCTCTCTCTCCTTCTCCCCCTCCCCCTTCTTCCTCTCCCTCCATCCCTTTTCCCTCTACTCTCTCTCTCCGCACACACACACACACACACACACACACACACACACATACACACACACACAAACATAATATAGTATAATGGATAAACAGCTGGCCCCAGAGTCTGGAAGGTCTTGGTTCAAGTCCCACTTCTGACATTTAATTGGCCATGTGACCCTGGAGAAATCACATTACCTTTCCGTGCTCAATGTAAAATGTTGAGACTCTAGGTTGCAGGGCAGATGCTGATCAGTATGGGTACAGGGAATTTCCTCACTGGGAGTTGCACATACCAATGAAATCTGTGCTATGAGCATTATCTTAATCCTCCTTCCATGCAAGGTAGGGTATGTTTTCCTTAAAAGTTGTGGAGACCTTCCTCTAGACTTGGTTGGCTCAATTCCTGATGTCGCCTCCTCATATTTTGAGTACAAAACAACCACAGAGGGCTCCAGGTGCTCTCTGATGCTTGGCTGGTAGATCATGATGGATGGGCAACTCAGGCAAGAGACTTCCTTCAACTGAATGTCCTTGAGATGTCCTCAATGCCTAATCTTATCAAATATCCTCATCCTGCTATGGTTAGGTAAATTTCTTTTGGTTACCTTTTGAATGACCTATGAGTATCTCTTTCTCCCCCTCGTCCCCCCAAAATCAAACTTAAACTACCAGAAACTTGACTGAGTTGGGTCTAGGCTAGGACAAAAATCAC